CATTGTACAGTCATACTGCAGCAATTATTCAAAATCTTTGATTATCCTCAGAGAGGCGATGCAATCATGGCTGAAAATCAATTTCAGGGACATCAGGAAAAATCAAAAACCTAGTACAGTGCCAACAGGGCCAAGGGCTTGTGTGAGAGAAGAGAAGGGATTTTTTTCTCATCATCGTTTCGGTTTTCCGTTTGCTAAGGGTAATCAGCCAGCAGCACCAGAGAGCTTGCTGTTAGTCAGAGCCAGATCCTGATCCTGTTCAGAGCAGCTAGTGATGTAGAGCCAGGTAGCATCCAATTAGTGCTTAGTGTAACTTAATGCAAAGTGCTGGCACGCAGTTCACCGAATCCAACTAGTTGTCATAGAATTTCCACGCTTCTGCTGTCAAATTCATGAACATTTGCTGATTTGCTTTGCCTTCTCAAGACACCATGAAGTTGAAATGAGACATTTCCATCAATGCTGCGCCGTGTATGGCCATTTTCTGCTAAAACAGATTGGCCTGATTACTGATGAGACAGCAGGCACGTCAGTGGCAGCTGCTTGATGCTTATTGACAACTGTGTTGCTTTAGAACCACATTTACTCCTTTTACATATAGAGCAATTTGTAATGGCACAGGTTCCAAAGCTCTGTAATGGATGTAAATCCAATGAAAAAATTCATTATTCATGATAAACCAAGAGCATGTACCATTTTTAGTAAACAAAGCTGGATGTTAAATTTCACACTTTCTTTATGTTCAATCAAGGCGTGCCTCTTCATATTCAATCAGTCTGGACTTGTCCAGATGCTGGACTTCTCTTGCACAGCTGAGAGCTGATCAAGTCTGACAATTACACATTTAAAGACACTGAATGATATGCCAGAAGGATCACAAATGGGCAATATCTTATTTTTCCCTATTTCACGTATATTTCAGTCTCCTCCATCTTTATTTGCAATCTTCTTTTCTTTCCTTTTCCTTTCCTCTCCCTGAGTGTAGACAGCTGCGAGGACTGTCTCCACAGACTGTGGTCTCTGGCAGAAGGCAAACAATTGAGTTTTGGAAGTGGCATGGAACAAGACAAAGGGAGCATGAGGTGGCTTCCTCCCTCTGTCTTCCTCCCCGTCAGGGCTCCACGGGCGGACTGCCCACTCTTTCATAACAGCATTAGCAGAGACTATGCAGCAAAACAGTGGAAAAACCACTCCACCATGTTTCCTCATCAACGATGTCTTCTGTCCGACCTCCACCTTTGTTTCAGTGACTCACATGAATATGGAAGATGAATATGGGCCAACTTCTGAGGTTACGCCAAATTCAACAAGAGGCAGGCTTGTCAACCATGAAATCGTCTTTACAGAAGGAGTATGGACAAATTTGGATTGGTTGGAGGCACTTTCATCCCTGGGAAATTTCCTGACCTTTATTTTATGTTCTAGGCCATAAAGATCAGGTAAAATGCTATCATAACAACCAGTATAAAGGAAAATGGTGGTCTATTATCCTCCATAATTCCTCTCTGGACATCTATCATCATTCATCCTCTATTCAGGCTACCCAGTCATCACAGGACACCCCCATAGTTGTGAAATCTGTAGCTTTCTTCTTTGGCCTTTCTTGGTAATACCTCCCTGTGACACACTTGGCTCAGCACCCTTTTACAAACAGTAACACACACACACACACACACACACACACACACACACTGCTGTTTGACCTCTGAGGTTCAGTGAGAGCATTAAATACCAATTAGGGTTGGGACAGGCCAAGCTGAGTCTGAGGTTGTAGCAGGGCCTTGAGGAGGCCTGTGGGAAGAGACTTATTGGTCCCTGGGCATAAATGTGTGTGTGTTTGTGGTTGTTTGTGGTTGTGTGTGTGTGTGTGTGTGTGTGTGTGTGTGTGTGTGTGTGTGTGTGTATGTGAAAGAGAGAGACTGTGTGCAGGATAAGGACATCAATAGCATAGACAACCTCCCTATAGACATACTCTACTTTATAGACACATGCACAAAAACCACATCTGGATATTTTATTTAATGTTATGTTCAAGTTCCCTCTCGTAACCTCTGTCTCTGAAGCCTGGTTTTTGGTTTAACTTATTTTCTATGACATCATAGCATATGATTGAGCAGGACTTATGCTGCTTAAAATTACATTATCTCCAATAGAATTTACTGTTATCATATATTGTAAATGTTTAAACAGCATGCCTTAATAAATAACATTAATTCCTATGCTGTAAGATATTGGAAATTGGAGAAGTACAATAAGATGTCCAATATAGCTTATTTGTCTCAGTTTAAGGAAGCTTGTTCAGCATGTTCAACATAACACAAACTACAAACACCAACTACAAGTCTTGTTTTCCCTCCGTCTTACTCTTACCGTTAAGACTAATTTGGTAATACGTCTTGGGTGCAATTAGAAGCCCACAGTAAAATGCAAAGCATATGTGACTTTAAGTCCAGTCTCTGGAAAAAATGGGTTTCCCCATCAACCTTGGGTATATGCAATATTTTCCACTATGTCCATTGCAACATTTTATCAAAGAGGTTTATGGGGTTCTCCCTTTTCTTTCATAACTTCATTTTGGTCACATTGGGTATATGCTGTAATAACTCGATTTTATGTTCAAAATAAAATAGCAATACAGGGGAAAGACTATTACCAAATGCTCTGAGGCCAACCCTCTGAGAAATATCAGTTTTCGGCACTGAATCTTGAGACTGTGTGTGATGATCTGCTGTGGTTATCTGGTGGTTTCAGAGTCATGCCCTTTACTGTCCCTCTGCTATTTACCCACCAGACACACACAGCTTGATAAATGTTTTGTCTGACCTTCTAAATTTGTTTTCCTTCCTCTTAACTGTGATTTTATTTCCCTTGGACAGGCCAGACAGTCTGTGTGGGTGTGTGTGTGCCTGTGTGGGTGTGTGTGCATGTGTGTGTATGTGTGTCTGCTTATTTGTCTGTTTGCACACAAAAAACAAGGTCTAAATCCAGAAAGATAAAATCTTATCCTTATTACAAATTGCTTCCATCATTTCCTCTTTTCAATAAACGAAAAATTGGACAGGCAAAGGAATTGAAACAACAACTAATACCAGTGCTCTAACAGCCACTGACCATCCATCTAGAGTGTGTCTACTACAGTCTGGAAAGGGTTAAAGTCGCCATAGGCCAGAGCAGAGTCAACATCGGCCACGGCTTGGCTGGCCTAGCCTGCCAGATCAATATCTGCAAATAATAAATTAGCTCCCCAGAGGGGTCGCACTAAACCTTCAGCAACACTGCCCTGGAAAAGTCCACAATTGGTGTGTGCGAGACTCAATAAGCCAGGTGAATGACTGTGCAGGGGCACATCTTTAGCACTCCATAATAGAAAATTAATGGTGCTCAAATCAGTGCTGAGGGCACCCTGAGGGTTACCTAATAGGCCTAGTTAGAACTGTCATCCCTCCCAGAGTCGCCTAAAATATCACATGCAAACACAGGGAGCCAAGAAGAGAGGGAAGACTGGGGGAGAGATATGTGCAAGCCTTTGTGTGTGCATGGGTGGGTGGGTCAGCTGGGGGTAAGGGTGAGTTGTGGGTGAAGGGATCAGAAATTAGAACATGTAACCGGGCTTGGTATTGATTACTTTAGGGAAAATATTATGAAGGTGTTATTTTGAATTTGGAGGAGTGAAATTAAACAAAGGCTGTCAGAACAAACTTCATTTTTCAAATTTAAGAAAAACAATGAAACCAACACTGAATCAATTTAAAGTGCAAAGCATTTTAATCCTAAGTGAAGTGAATGCATCACTATCTCTTTGTTCTGTTTGTGTTTTAATGGTAGAAACACAGAGCATGACCAGTGGATTTCAACTTCTCCTATCTCCTAACTCCTCGTTTAAGAAAAGACCTCAAACCGTGAATCAACACTAAACTGTTGCTATACGTTTAGAATGCATTTTCCTCTTTGCTTGGTCCATTAGTCTTTTACTTTATTAGTATTTATACTACTTAGTATTTTACTGATGGTCAAATGTAAGTTAGATTATTTACTTATTTCAGTCAATGTATTGTCCAACTTAATTTTAAGGAATAATTCACAGCCCCATGCACACAAACGTATCCATCTCCATTATCATGGCTGTTTCTTACAGTGAGAATTTGCGACAGGAAGTAATGAGAGAAAATAGTGGAACAAAATACCATTTAAATTTCCTTTATCAGCCTTTAAAAATAAAAATAATAATAAAAAAAAAAAAATATATATATATATATATATATATATATATAAAATAAATAACAGAATAAATTAAGCTAATTTAGTAACACATCCACATTTATGCAGCCAAATAAAAACAGAACTAGTTGCAAGGGAAAAGTCATTTAAAGTTTGTAGAGAAAAAAATAAGTAAATCTTGGAAATACTAAGTACATGATTAAATAGGAGGCTGAAATATGCAAGTGTATCATGTTGGCTGTGTTCAAGCATAAACTTCAACAATCCAGAGGGCTGTTTAAAAGCAGATCTATATGCCCAACAGGCTGGTAATGAGCCTTAAAAGCACATCTGATCACTTATTCCAGCTGGTTTATTCCCCTTCTCCACAAACACAACTATTGGATTCAATAAACATACTTCATATTGATCCTGAGTCACCCAGCAGCACATGAAGCTCTCTTACGCACACTCAACAAGATTTATTACAACTTTGCATGCCGAGCAGAAATGAAGAGACACACAAACACAAGCATCTGCGCACATATACAAACAACTGCACCCACACACACACACACACACACAAACAAAAGGTAATGTTTAAATACCCAAATGATTTCTCGTCAATGTACCCCACACACATGCACACAACCTTTCGATCTAATCCCTGACCCTAATTTGCCTATGCATTTATATCAGGGGGGTTGGGATGAGTGGGGAGGGGTTTGTTTCCTCATCTCTCCTCCTATTCCCCTCAGGTCTGGACTTTGGCAAACTGTCTGCTGCGTTGACACTGAACTTACCCACATGCCGCCACACTGCCGTCCTCCAGCGCAAACAGAGTGTGTCGCTCTCCGCAGGCCACTTGAGATATTTTCAGAGATGACGGAAGATTCAGGAACAAACGCGGCGCCAGCTGGAAAAAAAATAAAGTTCCCAGTAAGGTGAAGAAACACACTGTATCTCTGAGTTGCTCTGTAGTTAAGTTTGTATACTCCATCAGTCTGGCAAACATCCCAAAGACAGGCACAGCTACAATCCTCTCAGTGTAGATGAAGACAGAACAACGTGAACAACAGAGGGAACAAGAAAGAAACAGCATACTCCTTTATGGCGCTGAGCTGTGTAGATCTGATGTTTTTAAGTCCCTGTGTGTATGTCTGTCTGTCTGTGTGTGTGTTCATGCCAGTGCCACAAAGAAAAAATGAAACAGCCTATGAGAAGAAAAGAAAGCCTGGTTCCTCATCATGCGCTTGTTAGCTTGTCCAATCTATGGCAATCAGCACAGTCCCAGGGGTTGAAAGACACGAGATGCCGGGGAAAGGGAAGCCGAGGCTGAAGAAAAGATCAATACTGCACTGTGAAACAAGAAGTGTGGGCTATTTACTCTCCATTGATCTGATGATGCTGGAGAAACACCTCACTCGGCTATTAAATTGAGGGTATAAGTCTACTGTGGAGGGCTTTTTTTCTTCCTCTCTCTTTTTCTCTTTCTCTCTTTCTTCACCCCAAGGTCAAGAAAAAGCTAAAAACATCCACAAACAAACAAAAATGGATTGCTTTGGCCAGGGAAAGTAATTAATCTGCATTAAAATGGCAAGGGAACAGGCACTAACTACCCATCTTAAGTGAAGTTTTGCTCAGAGCGACAAGAGACCCAGGAAAGGATGGACTACTAGAGGACAAAGTGATAAATACAAATAGACTGGTAGCATCCAGCAGAGCTTCACTGGAGCTACTTTAAGCCTAGAATTTTCACCTGCATAACACAGTGAAGGATAAAACAGAGCAGAAGGTTATACAGGCCTTTTTACAACAGAGCAGTGGCGGGTAAGTATGATAGGTAGTCATACATGATGGATAGATATCTTCTTGTATACAACACAAACTATTACAGTCAAGGCAGAAGAAGGCAGGTTCAAGGTCCCTTTTGTTATTCAAAGCAATGATGATTTAGGCGGTTTATAGTTTCATATCATTTTCAAAAAATCAATAATTCTTGTATCTTGTAACTGCTTTCACTAAATGTGTCTTAGCTACTGTATTAAGGCAGAATAGGCAGAGACCACTGTGCTGGAATAAGGTTTTCACAACCACAGTGACTTAAAGTTGAATGGTCATCATATCAACAGCACATTCAAACAAGATTATCCGAGAACTGGTTGCCATTTTGGGTCACTGGAAGGACACCATCACATGATTATAGCTGTCTTGTAATGTCCAGTGTGTAACTGAAGTATTTTTCCAATATGTCAACATCATATTCTATGCAATGCTACGAAGCAATTAAAGCTGTTTTTCACTCAGTGTGTAAAAGGCCTATAGATGTGTTTCAGATATTCCAGTGATTTGGATTCTGTATTTGCTGGACTTTACTGTGAAAACAACCACATGAAGACAGAGCATGAAATCGCTGTAGTTTCACACCCAGTTTGATCTAATAATGTAGTTCATCTTTATGTTACTGACTTTGACCTTAAGGGTATTTTGGGTTGAGTCCTGATTATGAATTATGTTTTTTACTGTGAAAAGGCGGTGATACTGTGTTGTATAAAGCATATTTCTATGGGTAACCGATCCATTTTAAACTAACATATTTTAAAGGTAAAAAAAATAAATAAAGTCTTTACACAGCAGAAGATAAAAGCCATAAACTTCATCTCTGATATCCCAACATGTGTCCAGTGGCAGAGCTGCTGACATCCAGATATTTTTCATGGTGTGAAACTCTTTCCCTCCATGTCTATCTTTGCCTTTCTTCTACTCCTCAGAGGAGTAGCCTTATTGACTGTGTGGCTGTATTACAACAAGCAGTCTCTAATGACTCCCTGAAGACCTCTCTATCCCTTCTGCCCGCCCTCCTTCTCTCTCTCTCGCTGTCTCGCTTTCTGTGTCTCTCCTTCTCTGCCTGCTCTTCAGGCTCCAGTTCAGCAGCTAATTAACCCTCTCTAATAGCGTAGATTACATTAGCTTTGAGCGGCTCGCACCCTCCACCGGACTCGCACTGCCACACAATGAACCCAGCCTTGCTTTACAAATCTCCCCCTTCACAAGAGCACAATTATGAATTCAAACAACTTCTTATCCACACTCACTCATCCAGGGACAGAAGCCCTCCTCTGCAACCACCCCACTCCTCCCCTGCCACCCACCTCCCAGGCCTTCACGCAGAGAGTAATGAGAGAACTGAAGAGAGGAGACCACACAACAAGACGGCCGTGAAGGGGAGAGGGATATCGAGGGGGGGGAGGAAAGGACCCCTATTGGGTAAATCAGAGAGGTCACTATAGGTGCTTCATTGGGTGAGCCTACAGAAGCCCAGTGATAACCCTCCATCTTAACATTCCTATTCAGAGCAGAATGGAATCTTAATTACTGTGGGCGGATAGGACGAGAAGGGGGAATACCAGGACCAAATGGAGGTTTGTGCTATAAGTGGTCAAAGAGAAGGAATTAAACACAAGAATAAATGACTTAAACCAGTGGAAGCTGGGTTTTTTTTTGTTTTTTTACACATTGACAAAATGGCCGGGGAACTCAGGGGCATAATGAACACTTAATATGTTGTCTTATAAAGTTGCAGATTGTGATGTATCAGAGTGCTTGGTTATTAGGTCCAATCAATCAGCTAAGACCCATCATGTCTAAAAATACACTCTTGGTGGAATAGTAGACCATCACAAAGTATTCTGCAGTGTGCTTTAGGAATATGAGAAGGTAATGTGGTTGGTTAGTCATCTTTGATGCAGTGGAGCTGAGCTGTATAACACCGCCGCTGCTATTAAACTGCAGGAGTCCCACCATGCTGTGAGACTGTTCAAACCAATGGAGTACCTAGAAGGAGAGGAAGGTACACTGAATCAATGAGAAAAATATATTTTTTGAATTGGAAGTTTTTTTGTTTTTTTTTCTTACAGCACTTACAGCACTTAGTGGCGTTTTATGAATGATAATGAGATGAGATATGGTTGGGGTAAAAAAAAAAGAAATAAAGTTCGGAAGAAATGGATGTAATCTGCTCCGTCTAAATGTAAATTGGTACATTTGTAGTGAAAGGACATTCTCATGTTTCTTTGTCCGAACAAGTAATTTTCCCTCCGTCCCTCTTCTGTAAGGCTTGCCATAGCAGCATTTTCTGCAGCACAGAGCACTCTCCTTTCTATTTCAATAGGACAGCTCATTTGCTAGACTCCTTGCCCAAACTGCTGACTGGGTTTTTCAAGGCTGTGTACTTTGTGTGCGTGTGTGGACCAGCGTGCGTGTGCACAAGCTTGTGCTAAAAGAGAGAGAATAGGGGGAGAAAGGCACGAAAGAAGGATAGGCAAAATGGAAGGAAAGAGCGGGAGAGAGAACACATTGTATCATTAAGGTACTCAGAGATCATTAGATATATAAGGGCACTGCTATGCAAGGTCAGGGCTGCTGTGTTTTTCTAGGTCGGTAGAGGAGCAGTAAAACCAGTCTAATCAGCCGCTTCTCTCTCCTCTTCTCTCCCTTGTATCACTCCTTTCCTCTTCCATCTAGGAGGTAGTGTGGATTACAGCCCAGTTTATCCATGCCCCTGTATGTATTTACTAACATTATCAAGGCTTATGAGCCAAGGACACGGTAAACCACACAAAAAGCACAGAAAGGCTTTGAGCTAGATATTGGCCTCATTATGGGGTAAAGTTGTTGGCTCCCTGTCTCGCTCCCAGGATGTACAAGGCTGCTTTAACAGGTGCAGCACATTGCCTGACTATCCAGTATTTTTCATTAAGGCCATCCTTTAAAGTGGAGTTTAGCAACTGGCAGTCTGCCCCAATAAAGTGTGTGTATCTGTCTGTGTGTGTGTGTGTCCTAAACACCAACACATGTAAGCTACACATTTCTGTCAGCTATAGGGGAAGGACATGGATTTTATTGAGAGGTAAAACCACTTTGTATAAAAGTAACTCACAAACTGTCTTACCAGACATCCAGACTAAGGCTGGATATTGATTTTAATCAAAATGTTTGCCATAATAGCCTTGGACTATTTTCTTTAGGCAGTTGTTGTATGTCTGTTATACAACATTTACCATCTTAAAACTTTGGCTTCTTTTGTTAAAGGAAAATATGGTTTTACAAAAAAATAAAGTTTATAATTCTTAAGTACAAGAAGTAAAATAAAAAGTTGTCTTGGTGTAGGAACTGAAACTCAGGTTATGTATCACTATTAGTTTCGAACAACTTCAGATAATAGCTAGCCTAGTAAACACAGACATTCCACCCCTTCACTCCTCATGTGACTGAGGTCCATCGAAGGACAAACCGCTGCTGGCCTTGGTTGGCAGGGAGGCGATGCCGTTGGTAGTGTGGCATGTTCATCAAGATAATGATGGATAGCCTTAAAACGGAACCTCGGCTTTATAGAGATGAATGTCCTGCTTGGCTTCTTACTCAGCACTTTGGCCTTTTCCCCCACTCAAACACCCTCACCCAGCCTAAGATGGAGATTAGCAAAGCCTGTCTGGAAAATGGACCTAACTAAAGCCTATCAATCAAACTTTCTCCAGGCCGATCAAGAGAGGAAAACACACATCCAAAAAGCATCACCGTAAACAATTTTCCGATGTGAATTTTTAGTGTTAAGTAATGAGAGTATTGTAATTGGGTTGGTGATAGAAGAACATTTGTGTGCTTGTATGGCATGAGATGAGAAGATGAAGGAAAGAGTATGAGAGAGAGAAATGGCGTGTAAAAGAATGCCTTTCCTGCTCTCGACATCTCATTAGGCTAATGTTTTTTTATAAGGCACTTCAAATGTCAAGGCATTGGTGGATTTAGTGTAAACTTAAATTCCATTACCTGGCAGGCATTAATTGCTAACTGAGCCCAGGGATCTTTCCCCTGGGGCCTCTATGTTTCCTCTCTGTCATCTGGCTAACTATTCTG